AGTACACATCAGTAGATGAGTGGATAAAACAACTATGGGACATTTACACAATGGAATTCTACTTGGCTGTAAAAAAGAAGAAAATTTTACCCTTTGCAACAGTATGGATGGACCTGGAGAACATTATGTTAAGTGAAATAAGCCAGTCAGAGAAAGACAAAAACCATGTGATTTCACTTATATGTGGAATCTAATGAACAAACTGAACTAATAAGGAAAATAGAGACAGACTCATAGATGGAGAGCAAGGTGACAGCTAAGGGAGAATGGGGGAGGTGAGGAGGTGGAGGGACTGAGCAAAAAGGAAAAAGGACTTGTGGACTTGAACAGCAGTGTGATGATTACTGATGGATATAAGAGGGATAAATGATAATGGAAAAAATACAATAAAAAACTGAAAAGGAAAAGAAGTTAAAGGACTTAGTAATAAATTGATTGTTGGGTTTGAGGGAGAGGAAGGTGTCAGATAACCCTCACATGCCTTCCATGAGCAATTGGGCATATGGGAAAGCTCTTCGCTAACTTAGGGAATATGCCCCACTGCTCATTTAATTATGGAAAGCTGAAATGTTGGTATAAATCAAAAATCCTCAACAAAAATACTGCTTCACAAATGATCACATCTGTGGTTGGAGATTATTCGTAGGCCAAGAAAAGTGTCTTCATTCTTTGTTTGCTGTGCTATTTTGAGTTCCAGTCCGCCTCCCGAGGGAAGGCCACTGCAGGATGACCCTGCAGGCTGGCGTAGCACGTGCTTTCATGTTCCAGTAATGTGGGAACACCAAATATTTTTAGCAAAGTTGCTCTTCAGTCAGCTAGCCATGATTTTGCAGTCACAATCTGGCAAGAAGTCCTTTTAATATCAGCAAACAGTTAAGTTTTGTGTTTCTCTGTTGAGATGTGCTTTTATTTTGAATTCTACCATTTGGTGGCAGCAGTAATGTGGTGGCACCATGGACAGCAATGGGGTGGTGATGGGGGTGGGGTTTGTTTGGGTGTTGGTGGGGATGATAATGGTGGCAGTAATAATACTGGTGGTGATGGTGGCGGTCTTTGAAGGCATTGCATTCTGATTGGTCCTAAGAGCCGGAATTGGGCCCTGGGGAGTCCACGCTGCATTTCCCTTTGCCTGGACCTGGGCTAGGGGGCAGGGTTGTAGTGAAGCTGACAGAAAGCCCTATCTGCCCTACTCATCATTGTCCTCCCCAGAAGACGTGCTTTATCTGTCTTCTATTGTTTTGAGTGAAGAGGGAAAAGAAAATTGGAGGGAGTATGATCCAGTTTTTGTGTTTAGGCTAGCTTCTAGCTAGGTTTGCAAATTATTCAAGCAGTATCTTCAAAGATATTAAAAAGAAGGGAATTTGAGATACCTAGCTACTGTTTCATTTCTTTTCATTGCTAAACTTTTCTAGTGAGAAGCTTTTGTTTGTTTCCTCTTCTGCCAAGACCTTCATTGTTTGCAATCCAGTAATCTGTTATCTCTACACTTTCATTCTCATTGTCTCCAGTTGACTGAGGTTTTCTAGCAGTGTGAGCTGGACTGTCCTCCTGTATGCTGTTCTTACCTTTCTTTTTCTCTGTATTAGCATCTGGTGCACCACATACCACTGGTTTATTTCCTTAGGTCACTTCTTCTTCTTCAAGAATGTAAGTCTCATGAGGGCAGAGCCTTTGATTCACTGTTTTGTTCCCCAATACTGCAATAAAACCTGACATAGAGTTGGTGCTTAATAATGTATTTTATGAATGTGAAGTTATCTAATTGCCCTATTAGGTCAAATGGGTATTATAAGGCTAATCCCATAGACTTACCGAGAATAAAACAACATAAGTAAACTGCCTAGCAGTCCCAGACAGGAGTGGAAAGGGCTGGTGAACTGAGACTCTTCTTTCTTATAATTTCTTTCTCTTCTGCATTTTGAGTTCTCTCCTGTTTAGCTTTTTACCTCCTTAGTGATGTGTCTCCATTTTTTTCATGGCTCTGCTTTCTTCTGTCCCATAACTGGCCAGTCTCAGTGACCTGCTTAGTGGCTCTGAGTAAGGATGTCCCAACTTTTATCTCTTTCAGTTATTTATTGATAGGCTTCAGTTATTATTAATAGAATATACAATTAATTATTCTTATTATGGTACTTTATATGATTATAGAATGCATGTGTTATACCTAATAGTAGTAGTAAGCATTATTCATGAACTGTCCTTCTCATGATGAATTATCCCATGAGTAGTTGCTATTATCATCTTCACTTTGTAGTTGAGGAAACCGAGGCTTAGAGATGTTAGTGTCTTGGCCATGGGTACACATCCTTAGTAAGTGGTAGATGAAAAGTCATTCTTGGGTCTGGTTGCTTCTGTTTTTTCATTCATCCACCCATCCAAAAGATGTGTACTGAGCAATGTGTACTGTGGCAGGCACCATTGCTAGGCTCTGGCCATGCAATACAGGAACAAGCGATGCAGAACCTGGGACCGTTGGACGTCACTGTCATGGTCACCACTCTCTCTGTCGAAAACACTGCAGAGAGCCCTGTCCTGGGGGTAGCCATGTGTGGGCATTTTCAATTCCCTATTTCAGCTACACTTCAATCTTCGAATATCTAAATCTAAACTCATGAATTGTCTCTCTTTATACCTGCTCCTCCTTACCCTAACCAAAATTACATATTTTTATATATCTGTTTGAAAAACCACATGTCATTTTCCTTGTCCCAAGGGCTCAAACTTTGGAATAATTTTGATTACTCTGTCTCTTTCATGTCACACTTTGAATCCACACTCATGACCTTCTGATTGTTTTTATCCTTGAAAACATCTCTCTGATCTATCTCTACCTCCCGAGTTCCTCTCCAGCATTCTAATACCAGCTCTTGTGCACTGATCCTTGACTTACTGAGATACCATCAAGGCTGGGTTGTAATTAGTTTTATCCTCTGCTTAAGATTGCACTAGATTGTATGCCTCCTAAAGGCGTAGATGCTGCTTATTGATCATTATCTCCCCGACAATGTACCGGGCACATAGGAGGTACTCGGATGATTATTAAGGTGCCTTTGATGCTCAGACCACAGTTCTCAAACTTGGAGATTTATTTGGAGATGATGAGTAGTTTTCCTGGAAGATCATGTGATTATATTACTTCAGGCTATTCTGTGCATCTCAGTAATACATACTATATTTTTAACCAAGTCTATATCTGCTTTCTTCCATTAATGTTTTCTGCTTGTGTATTTGTTTTACCATCTGCTGGCACCAAAGCCCTAGAAAAATTTCTGCTTGGAAACATAAATATCTTTCCATTAAAGATCAACACTCTTCCATTTTTCTGCTCTTACCATAACTCTATAGGAACACAATTTGAGAACCACTGTAAGTTACAAAGAAATTATAAGCCATTCAGAGTTTTAGATGATACTAGATGGGATGGGTTAATCCCTATACCCAAGAGGGTCCACCCGTTTTTCAGGAAAGAGCCACTTGGTATTTTCTGAAGCCCTGAAATCACTATGCGTGTGGCTCAGGGACCTGATGGGCAGAGGGAGCTGTGCCAGTGGTCTTCTTCCTCACTTGTTCACTTTTCTCACTTAAGCAATCTCTCCACGAGCTCATGGTCGGGACCCTCGGTCTTCCATCACATGCAGGAGGAACGTGCTGCCTTGTGCAGACATGGTAGACATCAGTATGACCTTCACAATTTTTACCTTTACCTCGTTCCCTTTCTCATTAGAAATAAATTGTTTGCACAGTTAGCAGTGTCTGTGGATTGAAAGAATGCTGCATTCTTAAGAATATTTTGAAGTGAGGTTGTGGTATTTCTAAATGTGCATCCTGGCTTTTAGAAGTCATTAATCTTGTTGGCCACTCAGAGGACATGCACATTTTCTTCAGAATTCAAATTGAGGTGGAATACTAACTGTAAATGATTATGCCTCACAGTAAATCTTTTTATAAATGACTTAACACCAACTAAAGTTTTTTTCATTAAGATAGCAGGCCTTTTGATACAGTTAATAACTATAATTCAATATGCTTATTATATAATAGCCTGAAAACTGCTGCAGAAAAACTTGGATGTTATGTAATAGATGCCATTGGACCATAGCATTTGGCAAATCATGATTTGGAGCTAAGCATCTGCCAATTGTGGAACTCGGTTTTTTGTTTCTAAGCTAAACTAAAATTGATTTGGAGTAGATTTGCCCATTTTTAAGTTCTTTTTCTTCTATTGGTAACTACGTGGTAGCAAAAGCCAGCTTCACCATATTACCCAGCAATTGCTATAACATTTATTGTGTTAGTTAAAAGAAAGGACGAAATTTCCAAAAGCTGTCTTAAGTGAACAAATGGTGTCATTATATGACAATTGTATCAGATCACATTCACTCATTAGAAAAAACTTTTAATGAATTAAAAAATATTGAATTTTCACTGAGGATTTAGCAGTATAGAAAATGCATACAATCACTGTTTTCTTAGCACTTACATTTAATATGGAAATGCAAATAAACAGTATAATATCATATAGTGATAAAAGCTGAGAAGAAAATCTAAGGTGTGATAGAGAGTGAAGGGGAGGGCTACATCTAAGAAGTTAGGAAGATCAGGAGGGTCTTGTTGGGAGGTGACAAAGGAGCTGAGCTTACATGATAACAAGAGTCAGCTCTATGAGATCTGAGGGATGAGCTGTCTGGGACAGCAAGGGTGAAAGTTTGAATAGGAAACCAACATTATGTGTGGAAGAAGCAGCGAGAAGGCCAGAGAAGCTGGAGTATGGGGAGCAAGGGTGAGAGTGGTAAGAGGTGGGGCCAGGAAGGCCGGCAGAATCCAAACACTGTGATGTGTTGCAGATCATTGTGAGTAGTCTGGACTCTGTTCTTTGGGCAGTGGGGTACCAATGAGGATTTTTCTAACAGGGGTATAGTCAGATCTGTCACCGCCAGCTTCAAATGTGCATTGTTGAAAGGTTTCTTTTAAATTGAAATAATTTTCTTTGTATTTTATAGAATAGACCAGAAGGCTGCCACTCTGCCAAAGGATGCCTTTGAAACTCAGCAGGACTTAAATGAGGTAGGTGCAATCATTGCTGCTTGTAGGAACTTGAGTTAGCCAATCGTGAAATTTATTTCTCTTTTTCCCAGTCTTAGGAAATCTCTCTCTGATTAAAACTTTAGGTATTTTGGTTCTTAAGTGAACTTGTTTTCCTTCTAGTTCTTTGGGCAATGTTTTTCATCACTCTGGAGCAAATACATTTAAAATATTATTTGCAAGACTGCTCATTATGTCTTGGATTTGAACCAAGTCCAGCAGTCACTTCATTACACTCTTTTCAATTTTGCTTCAGCATTGTGTAACCATGACTGTGACAGTTACATTTATAAAATTTTCTCTTAATTTGATTTCACCTCTCCCCTTTTCCTAACGGCTTTTGCTGTCACAAATATAATCATGCTTATTGTTCATCCTCAGAGCCTGATCGAGGGTGGTGTCTGCATTATGCTCTAAGTGTGCTTTCAGACATTGACGCTGTGTTTTCCAATCCAACTGGTTCCCACCAAACTGGGCATCATAATGTTAATAAGCTTGTTCTAGATTTTCTTTGAAATATATAATTTAATTCTTCTGTTGGAAATCAATATAATGGAATTAGGATCTCCATTATTACGAATGCCTTGGCTTGAGACATTGGCTTGGAATACTGTCTAGTTTTTCTTGTCCTAATTGTATAATTAAGGAGCAGTGGGTGGTATATCTGATTAGGATCACAGCAAAAAGAATGAAGAGTTGATGTTCAGATTCCAGGAAGAGAAATGATGGGCTTCAGGCAAATCGTTTATTTGTCATTTGAAGATGCATCTCCCCTCTCTTCCACCATCAAAAAAAAAAAGAGGAGGCAATGAACCAGCTTTAGGTGATTTTTTTTAACTGTAGAACTTGGCAGAAATGAATTCGATCAGGCAGCTAAAGGTAAACCAGCTGCCTGATTGAATCAAGTTAAATAACTGAAGTTGTAGAAAATGTCTTCAAGATAACAACACAGAACGCTGCTCGTTATTTCTTTGTGCATGGAGACAGCCTTCAAATTCCACAATCTCTCATGGTAACAAGAGTGGAAAGAGTTTAAAAGAAAAGAGACAAGAGCCTGAATCAATGAACGCAGATGTTTGCCCCACTGTGAACAAGCTAAGTGCTGCCTTTAAGCAAGTGATGATTTGCTTTGACGTAAGTGACTAGAAAAATGAGGCAGTTTTAAGAGGCAACTTGTGATAGGTTTCAAATACTTGGGAGAAACTCTGGTTTGTGAGCTGGAAACCCATGAGATTACTTGATAGTTGCAAAAAAGCTCTATTTGAAAATAGGTTTTTTTGTATTTCTCCACTATATTGCATTTGCAAATTACATGACATGTGCCAGCTTGCCTCTCTGGGATTACATGGGTGTCAGAGCGCTGAAGGGAGGCGAGGATCTGAAACAGCAGGTGGTGCCGTGTTTTACAAGTGCGCTCTTCCCTGAAAAGGAGGTGATGCTGATCCAGGCGGGTTGATGATAGTGAGTGTGTGCTCAAAGCGGGTTTGTTCCAGTCAGGGCACATTGTGTGTGCAGGTCTGCCTCCTGTCATGCCATGTCTGTTGTGACTAAAATTTGGGGGCCAGAGGAAACCTTAGAAAATCTTGAACAGAGCAGCACAAGTGGGTCCAAAACCATGTAGGAAGGTGAATGTGTTCAGTCTCATCAATAGCTACATCCTGTATAGTAGAAATATATCTAACTGCACCTTTTCCATCACTTTCCAAACTTACGGATACCACTCTTTTATGGAAGAACCCCATAATAATATTTCTTTAGGCAACAGAGTCCTAAAAACACAGAATCCTATGAAACACAGGTGAGAAGCTCTGCTTTGATATTTTTAATGAAATAGAAAATAAGTAGATGTGCATACACTCTAAGTGTACAACTGGATGAATCCTCACAAAGCATGTAACCAGCAGATCAAGGAACAACATTATCACCATGCCAGGCACCCTTTTGGAGTTCCTTCCACTCACTGCTCCCATGTGAGGATAACTTTTCTTCAGACTGACATACATTTATTTGTTTTGTATTTTTGAGATTTTTAGATACAGACTATATGTACTGTTTTGTGTCTGTTTTCCTTTACTCATTGTTATGTTTGTGAGATTTATATGTATTCAGCATGTACTTTTAGTTTTTATTCTCCTTGCTGTAATCCCTTGTATAGTGTTTCTAATTTTTCACTATTATGATCAGTTGTTAGTGATTGTAATTTTTTTATTGTTGTTCAAGTACAGTTGTCTCCATTTTCACCCCACCACACCTCTCCACCCCACTCATCCCCACTTCCTACCCTGGAACCTACCCCCTTTGGCTTTGTCCATGTGCCCTTTATACATGTTCCTCGACTTGACCCTTCTTCTTCTTTCCCCCATTATTCCTCTCCCCGCTTCCCTCAGGTCACTGTCATGTTGTTCATTATGTGCATGTCTCCATTTCTATTTTGCTCTCTTGTTGGTTTGTTGATTAGGTTCTGCTTATAGGTGAGATTACATGGTATTTGTCTTTCACTGCCTGGCTTATTTCATGTAGCATAATGCTGTCCAGTTCCATCCATGCTGCCGTAAAGGGTAGGAGCTCCTTCTTTCTTTCTGCTGCATAATATTCCATTATGTAAATGTATCACTCGTTAACCTTGGGTATCTTACTAGAACCCTGTATCTGAGTTTTGGTGTCTCTGGGACTATGCCACAGGAGTTGGTTTCTGGAAAACTGATTAAGTCTCTGTCCTGCCATTGACCTGAGCTATCAGACTCTGCCTCTGTGAGATATAGTAAAACTTTATTTGTTGGGGTTTCCTGGATCATAATTGAAAAATATTCTAGACTTGAGATATGTCAGTGTCTCATCTACCTTAATCCTTGGTTTTAGTTATTCCCCCATGTCCATATATTAATAAGTACTCAGTAGATCAAGGAGTTGTGCTGAATGGTATTATTTCCATAGAATAGGCAACCCTACTTTTCTAGTGAAATGCAAACCTAGGCTATACAGTTGGGGTTGGGTCTTAGTTCAGCATGGATTGAGGATTCTTTTTTTCATGTGTCTGAGGGGTTTTTTTCTATGTTACTGAAAGTCAATTTACCTGGCTTTAATAATAATAATAATAATAGGATTTTTTTGATTCACACAGCTGAAACTTTAGGATTGGAATAGGCTCCATGCATGGCTAGATTCAGGGATTAAAGACTTGTTTTATAGAAGCCATCTCTTTCCATCTCTTGACTCTGCCTTCTTCTAAGGACTTTATCTTTATGTCAGCTCTTCTCTAGGGACAGATTATTCTTACAGCTTGTAATCCCAGTGTACGAGGTCTATCCAGAAAGTATCCAACCACCTAATATGAAAAATAGAGACATTTATTGAAGAAGATACAAGAAACATTGTACATAGGACAATGAGGCCTCAGTCCCCTTCAAAGTAGGCACCTTGGGACCTCACATAGTTCTCCTAGAGTCTCTTCCACTGTTCAAAACACTCTGTAAAATCCTTTGTTGGAATCACCATTGGATGCCCTGTCATAGTTTCCTGAATCTCATTGACTGTCTGAAATCTTTTCTTTTTCAAAGGTTATTTTAGTTTTGGGAAAAGCCAGAAGTTGCAGGATGCCAAATCTGAGTTGTAGAGGGACTTAGGTCAACATTCTCAGGAGTTCTGCTTGTTGCAGGCCTCACGGAATGTGGATCACTTTCAACAGATTCTTGACCATCTTTGAAGCATTTGTGCCACACTTTCATTCATACTGCACTCATTACATTGTCTCCAAAAGCCTTCTGAATCGTCCAAATAGTTTCTGCAGAGGAATGTTCAAACTTAATGCAAAATTTGATGCGGATTTATTGCTCTACTCACTCATTTTGAATACAACAGCCACATAGTACACATGCTGACTCAACAGTGTCTGCCACCCCTACTGACTAGTACAGTGAAGTCATCATTGTTTACACATGCACATTCCAGACCACCCTTCTTTGCTGCCAGGTTACATCAAAGTCACACAAACCATTTTTGTTATATTAACAATGGTTGGACTTTTTCTATTACCATGTAACAAATTACCAAGAAGCTTACAAGCTAAAAACACCCATTTATTGGTTCATGGTTATGTAGGTCATAAATTTGGGTAGACACAATTGGATTCTCTGCTCAAGGTCACACAAGACTGAAATTAAGGCATTGGCTGCAATGGGCTATTATCTGGAAGTTCTGGAGAAGAGTCCACATCCAAGCCCATTCAGGTTGTTCCCTGAATTTATTTTCTTGCAGTTGTAGGACTGTGATCCGTATTTCCTTGTTGGTCATCAGCTGGGGGCATCTCTCAGTTTCTAGAGGCTTCTTGCAACTTTCCTCAAATGGATCCCTTCATCTTTGAGCCAGCAACACTAAATCCTTCTGTGCTCTAAACCCCTCTCATGTTGTCCAGTTTCCACCAACTGAAAGAAACCCTCTGCTTTTAAAGGGTTTATCTGACTGGGTCAGGCCCACCCAAATCATCTTTGTATCCTTGGTCAACTGAGTTAGAATTTCAATTACATGTATAAAAACCCTCCATAGCAGCACCAAATAATGTGATAGAATAAGCCAGCTATAGAATTCTTGGGGGCTATCTTTAGTATTCTGCCTACCACAAAATGGAAATCCTTCCTAGTTCTGAAAAATTCCATGTATGAGCCTCATTTATCTGTCTTGGGGCATGTGGCCCTTTCTTGACCCAGTCATTATGAGGTTGGGGTTTGGCTAGATTGGCTAGATGTAGACCACACTTCCTACTTTGGATCTGGGAGTGCTGTTATCAAAAGATGGATGAATGGATGCTGGCTGCATAATAATATTGGTCTCTGGAAGCAAAATATCCAAGGTAATTTTCCTGTGTGCTGGACCACTGCAGGATGCCATCTGGCATTCTTCTGGTGCAGTTTTCTGAACTGAGACAATGTGACCTTGCCTCCCTACCAGTATTTCTTACTCAGCTGGAAGCTGTAATGATGTCCTAT